AATAAATTGATGCAATTTACTATTATAGGCCTAATCAATAAATTCCTCATCAACCGATATAACCTTGGAATTATTGACATAACATTACTGATGTACACACCCTTCAGTGTGAAATGTGGCTCTCTTTGCAAGCGCATCTAACATCTAAGGAAAGAAGAGCTTAGATTTGTACCAGATAAAATCATTTTGTTATCAACATTAATACATTATGCTAATTTTCATCTTTGTAAGCGCAAAAGACAGTGCAAATTATTTCTGTGACAGTCTTTTGAAGTGTTTAAAGCTCCATTTTATCCCATACATAGTCAAAATATTGGGGGATGATTCAATGGACCATCCCCCCCCCTTGTCAAATATTGGGGGGGGGGATATATTCAGTGTGTCTTTTTGAAATTAAACTAAACATTTATATCTCTGATTTGAAACAATCTCATTTGAACTATTATACTCATAAGCATAGCATGGTGCAAGTTTGAAAGAGTCCAGGATAAGTTGTCTTTTTCAGTTTTATTAAAATAACAGAAATTATGAGTAAAGTGTCATGTAAAATAATGTATTTTAAATATTGATGCTTAAACATAACATGTTGCTTTGGTAAATGTAGTAGTAGTAGTAGAACAAATTCCTGATATCAGTTTGGTTTAAATAACTGCTAATAAGAATGAGGTTTCTATTTTTAAGTATGGTACTACAATTTCCATTACTTTCATTATAAAAATGATGGCTGATAACCAAAGTTATTGATAGCAAGAATATAATTTTAGTCTACAAAATAAAAAGTTGCTTAATGAACAGTTTCATCAAAGTAAATTGTCTTTAGTGTTAATCCGACAATGCTAACAATTATGAGTATTATATATAATTACTTTTAAAGTTATGATTTAGCTTAATCATCAAAGCAAGGTAGTTGAAAAAGTATGCATAAAATGGCCCTCTTTCACTTCTATTTATTACAATGACTACTTTGAATTAGGTTACCAAATTATCTCAGTGTCTTTCAACACTTGCATTCCTATCAATGTCTAAAATTGTGAACATCACAGTACTTGCTTTTTAAGTTATGGTTGCGTACCAAACATGTTAAAATAGAAGTTAATATATATTGAACAATAGCTACAGTATATTCACATTTTATTGATAAACTAGAATAATACCAATTAAGCTATCAAATCATGAGTATCACTTAACAATTACTATTTCTATCCATATTGAAATTATTAATATCATAAAAAGGAATGTCATTCCTATCAACGCTAAAAATTGGGAGCATCAAGTATCATTATATTCAAAGTTACTAATAGTTAAACATAGCATTTTAGTCGAAAAAAACTAGTTTTTC